ACAAAGGGAGGGAGAAACTCCGAGGCTAGAGGATGCTCTAGATCTCTCTCATTCCTCTGGTTCCACCTCCTCACCCACAACCTCTCCTGACTCCAAATAAAACTAAAGAGGAAAATTCTGTCTTTTTCCTAATATTTATCAACAGAAACTACAAGAAATCAGTTATGAAATATTTAGTAAAATCCCAATAACCAAGCCTGGGTGTTTTGCCATCCCAAAGACTGAGTGCTCCCCAAGACACTGGCCCAGTCCATCCCTGACACATTTGCTAACTGACCTTTCACCTCCCTTCTATTCTTTGGTTGCATTTTGAAGAATGAATATGCTTTTGTGAAAACAGCATACAACACTACTTTGTTATGTTGCTGTGGTCACGAAGCATTGTAATAATCCTTATAATATCTTACAGTCATTGAGCATCTGTTCTCATTGTCTCCATTAAGATGCTTTCAGTTACAAGGAGTGGAAAATACAGATCAAAATGATGTCAGATAATAATAAAAATAAAATAAAACAAAAGGAATGTGAGGTTCTTGTAACTAAAAATGGACAGAGCTATGACAGCTTCAGGCAAAGTGTCATCACAGCCCTGACTCCTTTTCCTTGCAATTTTTCAGCTCTGGCATCATAAGTGTATCCATTTCATGTTAGCAAATATGGATGCAGCAGTTCCAAGCCTCCCAGTTATGTACTACAACTTCTAAAGACAAAGAGAATATCTCTGCTTTTTGCTTCCTGCTAAAAAAAAAAAAGTAGTAGTTCTTTCCCCGAACTTCTCAAAAAAAAAAAAAAAAAAAAAAAAAAACTCCTGAATCACTGGCCTGAATTGAGTCACTCGCCAGTTCCAGACAGAAGCCACAGGGCCAGGCGAATGGCCTACATTGCTGGACTTGGACCTGGGCCCTGAACCAATCACTGTGGCAGGGGGATTTCCATGAGCTTGTTTGGCCAGAACCAATCAAAGCCCATCCCTAGAGATGGAGTTGGAGTTGTTTTCCTTCCACTCAAGCCACATGGGCAAGGTATGTACAGGAGGTACACAAATCAACCACAGTATCCTATTTTCATGATAGGATAGGATCCTATTCCCATGGATTAGAATATCCAGCATTCTTGTCACAATACGGTTAAAGAACCTGGGCTCTGAGAGGCTAAATAACCCTCTCAGCATCACTCGGAGATATTGCTTCACCCAAACTCTGTCTGAATCTAGGGCCCGTGCTCCTTCCACTATGCCTGGTCCCCTGCTCATTTACCCAACATCTATGGAGCATGTGCCACATGGAAGATTTCCTTGTGGGCTGCTATGCAGTGAAATGTGAGCTCTCTGAGTACTGGTCAAAGGACTCCTCCTGCCTTCCCAATGGGTGTTATCTGGTGGCTACAGGACATTGTGGCTGGGATCCAGACATGAGATTTCCTAAGAAGGAAAGGAAGTTTCTATATCAGGGAAGGAAAAAGTCTCATCCATTGTCTATGAATGGGGAGAGAGATTTGGAAAGTCACAGAACTATGTCTAATGCTGGAAAATCAATTTGTCCCCTCCTGCCAGCAACCAAAAGTGAGGCAGCTCCCCTCAACTGCACACAGATCAGAGAGGGAGATGTGCTCTGTGGTGCCCCTCGTCAAGCCTGATGAAATGAAAGCCCAGAACTCTAGGAGAAACCAACTATGTTAAAGGAACTCAGGGTCGCTGATGTGATTGTCAGAGAACTCCCTTAACCCTGTACCAAAATTTAAAAAAAAAAAAAAAAAGTTTTTTAACCTAAGTAATTTGCTCCAGGGACTGATGTAGTATCTGAGTATAGGTTAAGTTGGTATATAAAGCCCAGATGGCTTCCCAGCAGCAGTTTTGCTGTGGGCTTTCTTGAATTTTCTCTCTTGCATTTAGTGAGCTCCACCACGTACGTTCTAGAACATTCATCGGAACCAACTGTAAAACAGAAAATTAGAATGCCAGTGTCCTTTGAGGTGTGCTTAGTGATGTAGCTGGAAGACTTCTCTGGCAGAAACTGACACAGCAATTCCCTCACCGCCCCCAAATCCTCTTTCTGCTTTCCAGAAATGAACCGGCATCACTACGCCTTATATGTGCACAACTGCCGCCTCGTCTTCCTCTTGCGGAAGGACTTCGACCAGGCTGACACCTTCCGCCCTGCGGAGTTCCACTGGAAGCTGGACCAGGTATGGTGTGCACCTGACATCTCACCCCTGCTCACTCCTTTGCAGGGGGGGTGGTGTGCTCCAGTGATGATGGCAGTGGGTAGGCCTTCATGGTTCTGGTTACTTGCTGATTTGGGGAAGAATTAACTCAGGGAGACAAACAGCATCTTAAAGTCAGGATGGAAACTGCTGCCTTAAAGACCATTTGGAGGTG